GACAAGAAAGTTAGACATACCACGCTACGTGAAGGAGACCGTGTTCTTGTGCGAAACATGACGGAGCGTGGTGGCCCAGGAAAGTTACGCTCTTATTGGGAGCAAGAAATCCACGTTGTTACTCAAAAGAGGGAGGATATGCCAGTTTACGAGGTAAAACCAGAGACTGGTAATGGAAGGACAAGAGTTCTGCATCGCAACCTGCTGCTACCATGTTCCTTTCTACCTGTTGAGATACCACCTAAGCCATCCAAGAGTCGTCGCACGATGCCCAGGACAACCCGAAGACAGCAGGAGCTACAAGAGAACACAACCAGAACCACTGATGAGAACATCCCTGGGTTAACACCTGGTCAACTTCAAGAATTTTACGAGTCTACGAGGAATCATACTGAAGACAATTGCCAAATTGTTCCAGAGTTAGATGAACACGACACTTACCCTTGTCAAGTTGATGGTCCAGGCTCAGAGGGAGAGGCTGAAGACACAGAGCAACCAAGTGGTGCGTTCGATGATGAAGCTGTAGATGGTGTACCTCTAAGACAGTCACAGCGCGTAAGCAGACCACCCCTCAGGATGACCTATGATGCAATGGGACAACCCTCCTTTCAACCCAGTTCCACAACAGGAATTCGCGGCATCACAGCATCATATCCACACCAGTTATGGCAGCCTGTCCCGGTATCATGGATGGTGCAACAACCTGTCTTTCAGCCCTTCAGTTATTTTGTACCTTTCCCAGTACACGTTCAGCCGATGTATCCTGTGCCTGCGTGGCGTTACCAGCAAGCCTGGTGGCATTAACTTGAAGAGAAAGGAACTGATTTGGACCAATTGAAATTACGTTCGTTTAGATAAGACGGATAAATGTTTAGTATAGTATAACTCACATGTCGTTCGTTTTAAGAGGTACAACCTTGTTTTATTAGGAGATTTTTTTTTTTTCTCGATCTCTACATGTTCTTTGTACGGGCAAACAATCGATATAGGCGCGTTATCGAACAGTACAGTGCAGTAAAGATAACACAGTAACATTTGGGCAACTTAAGCGAACATTCTGGCCTGATCAACCAGGATAACTTTGTTGACCCAATAATGAGATACAAGAATACGAGGAACTGTTACACGAGATAACCCACAAGAGACTATGGTCTATCCGTTCATGTTGAGGACAACATCTTTTTCCAGAGGGGGAGAATGTAGAGAACTGGAACTAGTTAGAATAATATCGAAAAGGACTGGCTCTAGCCAAGATGATGTAATCGCAAGATGGCGGAAAACGCCACCGACACGTATTAAAAGAGTTAGAAGTTTGGAGTAATTTGTGGTTGATTTAGGCGTGTAGTCTAACATGAATACTTTTAAGTAACAAAATAAGATCTGATTTTCGTTTTGATAAAAAAAAAACACCCCTAAAAAATTTATATTGCCATAAAGAAAACTTACAAAAATCTTACAAAAATAAACGAAGGGGAAAAATGCCGTTCATTTGAGTGCCAATGTATTTAGCAAGAAAGTACTAACTGGGGACACTATTTTTACGTCTCTTGCTGGAGACGGGACCGCCGGTTAACGTGGTCATTCGAGCCACGTGAAGGTCTGCCATTTGCAGGGCAAAGGGAGTGCCTTCATTTCTCAGTTATTGTAGACCAGGAGTGTTGGTCCGGTCCCGGGAATCAAACCCGCGACCTCCCGCTCCCCAGTCAAGCGCTCTACCGACTGAGCTATTCCTGCCGCGGGTTGAAAAAAAAAAGACAAGAAAATAAAATAGGAGGAAAAAAAAAACAGAGAAAAAGTAAACAGGGGGAGATACAAAAAATGTTGCATGCTTGACTCATGTGGTAAATCAGTAAGTTACAAACCGTCGTTTTAATAAATAGTTTAAGTGAAAAGAAGAATCATTCAAATCCAATCATAATAATAATTCCCATACACAATTCAAGACGCCAGTTCATGCAATTTTGATTTAAATGCTGCTAGTTTACGAAAAAGCTATTTGAGTACTTCCTGAAAACTCAAAAGTGTCCGTTGAAGGTGACGATATGCTAAGTCATGAAATTTCATATAAATGAACCAAAGAACATGTTTTCTTACCTTATAATCAATTACGAGAACCATTTTGGTTTGCTTTAAAGACATTCAACTTGGTAACTTGATGAGGCGAGTAAGTTATGTGTTTTTGAGTTCTTGGGCGTCTCAAAGTGAAGTGTTCGATATGGTCCACAGCTCAATTATGCTTGCTTTTATAAGAAAAATCTAATAGCCAAAATATGGGAAAATTTTCATTTGCTAAGAAGAAATTATTTTAAAAAGTAATTCAGATCAATTCAATGCATCCTCTCGGTTTAACGCCGTTTCAGGCGTTATCGGCCTTTATCTGATCTCTGGAACCTGATACAAACAGTGTCAGAAAGCTTAGAATTAAACTTATTGCTAACAGCCTGGGTGTTTTACAAACTTTTAAGGATAAACACAATATGGCAATTGCACGATGACGTCATTTTACTACAACTACCAGAATCCTCCAGTTTGTTGTTTATTGGGTAAATTAATAAGGCTATTGTTGGTTAATCCTCAAAGGGATTGACCAATTTGAATAAGAAAGCAAAAACGAAATGAATTCTGGTAGTTGTAGTCAAAACGTCGTCATCGTGAAAATGGCCCATTGCCTGAAATCTAGAAATTGGCGCAACTAGTGTTAACTCGTTTTTATATGGCTAGTGGTAGTTCTGACTTAAATTTTGGACGGTAGAAGAGCTGTAATAAAGTCAACAATGTAATTTTTCGTTAGTTAGGTTAAGGGTTTCCAATATATGTTCTAATATAGAATGTCTTAACAGGTTTCCCGTTTACAACTGGCCAGGGTTGATCTAGGTCTCGTATGAACTCTTCAGTAAAAGAGAGAAGTTTTCTTTTTTTAATAAAAAAAATCGTAAAACAGCAGATGAATCTATGTGCCCATTCTTGTTAAAGTACAATTTTGTGTTTTGCAATGTCTGGGGAAATGGAGCTAAAATAAACACCCATGTTTGGCAAGATTCTAGATAATCACTTGAAAAATAAAACTAATGAATTTGCATTTTCCTTATGAATTGGTAATGAATTTTTAACTTTATTGATATACATTCTAGATCCAAATGCCATGGATCATGTACAAGAATAAATGGAAGTAAAATCTTATCCTTTTTCTAGACTTAAGGACATCATTTCTTTTTCTTTTCTTCATGAAGGATCAAAGAACGCGTTTTTTTTTCCGCAGACACAATGCAGCTGTTGAGAAGACAAACGTATCATTTTAACTGCGTGTAGTTTCGAAAGGGCTTTGATGTTCTAGGGGAAATTTTCTCTTGTCATTAGCTGCTTCTTGTGTCGTTTTTATCGTGTGATTACAGCAGGAAACGAATTTTGTGAATAACAACTCATTTAGATGAGTTACACAGCAAATTGCAGTGAAACAGTTTTAACGATCAGGTGTATTAAGCTTTGGTGAATTGACCGGGAGAGAGCTTGCATTTAAGAGTCTTAGGCATCTATAATGTCAGTAGTTTTTCCCGTCTTCTCATCATCCAGGAAGTTAATGGCATTTATTAAAGGAATTGAGGGATCTGGCAGCTTCTTCACGAAGCGTTTTGACAGCAATTGGGATGCAGATAATTACAGCATCGTTTAGCGCTCTTAAAGCTTGCTCTTGTGTCTCGCTCTAACTTCCTGGGGTGGGTCGAATACAGCTATTTCGAGAAAGGTTGTCGGAAAAATTTGCACGGGACAATACCGAAAGATAATATGGAATATGATCAATACACTGTTCCTGACACTGTAGCTGTCGAACCTTCTTTTGTTGTTTTCCTTTAGCACTCGCAAACATATTCCCATGGGCATTTCGTGCCATTCTTTCAAATTTCTTTATAGAAGAGTGAACTCAAAACTACCCACAATACCTTTCGGGATTGTCGCGTGCACTTTTTCCGACAACCTTTCTCGGAATAGCTGTATGTTCAAAACCCAAAGCAGGCGAAATATAACAATTAGACCCGTTTTTTTCTTAGTTTCCACGTAATCATTTTCTTTTATCCGCTCGAATATCATGTGGCTCAAACGGGTTTCCTACTTTGAAAAATTAGATATTTGTGTTTTCTATTATGGATATAACTTTTATATTTATACAAAGCTACCATAATTATAGCTTAACGGTAAGAGGGATAGCGGAACGCAACGGTACAGCTTTCTGATAAGATCCTAGTTTTGTCCAAATATCTATTTCAAAAATTCCGGCAGTAATTTCTATTAAGTACAGTCGAGCCTCCACTAACGGCCACCTCTCTAGAACGGCCATTTTTTTTTTTTTTGGCGGACAGTCCATACACTCACTCTTGTTTCAACCTCTGTACAACGGCTACCTCTCTACAATGGCCTTTTTCTTCTGTCCCCAAGGTGGCCGTTGTGGAGACGTTCAACTGTAAAAATGACACAATACAAAACGTATTTATGAAGGGGAATAATTTTCTTTTCGATAGTTTTTCTGTAAAGCCAACAAGCAAGGACACAGTTTAATATTTAGTCAGTTGTTCCTTTCTTAAACGATTAAGTTATAGATTGATATGCCAATAGATACATAGGCAATTTAGTTAGGCGTTGCACGAGGGTAAAGATGGGTTCTTTTGCATTCACAATGCTAAGAATTGTTGAACAACGTAACGACTGAGCTGCAACACTTGTTGATCGCTGAACTGTGTCACAAGCTCGATGCCGGTAACAGTAAATCAAATCAACCACGTCATATAGAAACTACAGAGTTCAGATTTTATTATTTTTGCACTATTTACATATTGATTACATTGGAATTTTAAATGCTTCTATTTCTAATTCTCAGTTGTCTCATCAAAACAGACCAGCTGTTCACATATTTTTCCTCTATTAAGAACAATAGTCAAATATCTTATTCATCGATCACGGCAAATTTTAGATCGGTAGAAACATTAGTCTTATTCTCACCAATAGACTCAGGCGGCACATTGGCAACCTATCGGTAATGCAGGACACCTTCCTATAAATTTAGCCTTCCAGTAACCGTAAACGGTATTACACTTGTCATACTGGTGGGTTAAAATTGCATTGTAACAAGAGACGTGGCTATCCAAGCAGTCTACATGGTAAACAAAAGCCTTTCTACACGAATCGTAAACCCTCACGATTCGAGAAACGCATGGGTGACTAGCATCCCTTGTTGTGCGATTACGGGGTGTCGGCCTGTCAAGAAATTCGTTTACAACACTTGCGACATTACTCTCTTGGCTAATGCTCTCTTCAGCTTGAAAGACATCTGTGTTTGGCTGGGTTTCTTGGTTACGCAGTGTTTTATTGAAGGTCAGGTTGCGAAGGAATGATTTCTTTGGCGAAAGAGGTTTTGTAAGACAAATTGTGCAAACACTCAGGATAACAGTTATAGAAAGAACCATCTGTTAAAAAAGGACAGGAATAGACATTAAACTGCTACCTGATACCTCAAAGTGTCTTTTTTTTTTCTAGCATTGAACAGATAAGACGTCCACTGTAACTTAGGCTTGTTGCCAAGCCTTACACCAAAAAAAATGTCATTGACTGTCTTGAAAACTGAGAAATTCACAGGTAGATCGGCAACAAAGTAACAACAACAACCATCTTTATTTGCAGGATCATACAAGTACACACAGTATTGCAAAAGCTATTTATAATTATGTAAGAACTAAAATTTAAAAGCAAATGACTGAAATGATTGTACTGTACTCTACATCACTGTGTAAGTCATCTAGAACTGGCATCTTGATTGATAAAAAAGTTGAGACTTCTAATCAATTGTACTTAATCATACTTAATTATAATTATATTGCTTCTGCCGACTGACATACTGACGCACGATTATGAAAGTCGTTTGTAAAAATTTATTGATCTTACCTTTGCGCAGAGATTCATTTTTATTTACGGTTTATGAAAGATAACTTCTTTGAAGGATTCAACTCAGGTTGATAGTTTCTAGACCTGCAATATTGTTGGAAAAATAATAAGAAAACAAAACCAGTTTATTCTCCTGCAGTTCACACTTTTTTCATAAGAACTGAACATGCGGTAGAATGCCAAAGTTAGTGCAGAAAGAAGGGTCGCCAGAGATTGGGAAACTTGACCATGGAAAACACAAGAACTTATTTCGTTAAATATTGAGGGGAGAAAGGGGGGTTTGTAAAAGTACTGCTTTAGCGTTTTACATACTGGGCGCATCCTGATACGATTTTGTACATAGACTCAAAAGTTAAAAAATACGTTCATTAACTGTGTCCATAAACTTACTTTGGGATTCAGAGGTGATTAGGAAAGATTGTGAAAGCTAAAGTGTAGTTATTTTCAGATGTTCTAGCTGCCTGAATATTTGTTACTCGCAGAACGTTTTAAAGAGAGAATAAGAATTTTCTAAGTACCTTATTAGTATATGGTACCCCCAACATCGAAAAGATCGTCTGCAGTAGATTGTCGTTTCCCAAGTTCACTGGTCTTCACTCTTTTCTAAGCCTTGATCTAACATCTGATTTACTCGACAAAACTAAGGTTGCTTCTTTTTTAAAACTTGTTTGCAACTAAAGGAGCCTTCGTAGTATCACTTTAAAGCAGCATGGAAACCACCAGAATTGTTTGGTAACTTATTCGTTTCAGTGGCTTAGATACTAAAGCAAAACGGGTTTTTATCGATAACATAACGCTTAAGCTTTTGTATCATTAGAAAATTGAATCCTTTTGTGAAAGGTGAAGTATAACATGTGTCATTGTCAGCTAATGGGAACGAAATTTAACTCTTGCAGCAAGGACTTTCGGACAGGAACGAGCCCTACCAGGGCAGCTTCAGAAACAAGATCGCCTTTTACCAACATTTATTTTTTTCTCTGATCTAAACAGCCAAAACATCTTAGTGGCAAGCCATGAAAGCTCAGTTTCGAGGAATCGGCGTTAAAAGCAGGTGAGTATAAAGTATAAGGGAGAATGAGACTTTCCAAAATTTGTCCCAACTTATTAACCTTCTTCCATGAGCCCAATAGTTAAGGAGTCGAACGTTTTAATGCCGAGCTCTTGCAACCGAATTTTTAAGAACGATTTTGCATGACACCGCTAGAGGACAATATCAGGAAGGGTGGACCATGAAAATTGACCGTGTTCTCTATTCAAGAGATTACAGGCATAACCTATTCTTTCTACTATAATTGTGGCCTACCTTAAATTCAGTCACAAGCCAATGATTTCACTTGGATGTCTTGAACTCGCTGCTTTCAGTAGGCATCCTAGGCCAGTTTTTATATGCTTTCTTAGCTTATTAATTCAGTACGGAAAATCGTCCGGAACGGAACAAAACTATGGACGGAAGTTAAAATCAGTATTATCCTATTTTTAGCCTTGGCAACTAATCCAGTTGCACACCTGCTCTAGTTAGACATACCAACCCCACGTGCCCTTTTCACGTTGCAATGGCTGTCATAACGGTATAAACGTGGAAGGCTTCCTTGTAACGTCTACTCTTAAAAGGCCTCCTGAAGTGAAAACCTCTAGCAGTCAGGAATTTTAACAACATCAGAAAACTGAAAAATGATTGTATTATAAAACTTAAAATCAGAATTGTTCTTAATAATTAATGGAGTGATTCAAAAATAGACGTTTATCCACGCGTTTGGGGAACTATAACGTCAATATCAGCTATTTTAGTTTTTGGTATGTGTGGATTTTTTTTCCGTTAAGCTTCTGTTTTTAAAACTTTCCTTTTGGCAAACAATTTTAAAGTTCAGCGCGAGTTTCTCCTCTTATTTCAGGTACACTAAACAGCGACCACCGCTCAGGGTTTTCAGATATAGTATTTGGGTATAAAAAGAACAAACAATAGTATGTTTGGATTTATTTTATCGGAACTTGACTGTTAACTCAATTTGATGGTATCGTTGGGAATCTGCAGATAGCCGTCAAAGTACGGTAACAACGGAACAACCCTACCTTAGAAACGTAAACCGGTAGCAGTCTTCTGTAAACGGGAAGGTTTAACATTTAAAATCTAAAACAATAGTACTGTTACTGTTATAGTAAAAAGATCTTTAGTTCCGGCTTATTAGGTGTCAGTACACTAAATTTATGATATCGTAGTGGAAAGTGCCACGAAGAACAAGTAGAAAGCAAAATTTACTCAGGAATTTTATTTTTATCAAATGATGCTTTTTATTAGTTAGACTACGATGGTACTTAACCGTGGGTGTACACGTTTAGTAATGCTACTTCAATGTGCTCAGACATGCGCACTTGCAGTTTTTGTAATGTGCAGTATCATGGAGTTCGAGCATTCTACCATCTCCTGTTTAGTATTAATGTCAATATGGTAGACAGCACGTTACTCCCACGAGCTCTTGCTTATTGACTTAAGAGCTATTCGCTCCGAATCCGGCCCTTAGATAAATAACGCTATCCACTGGCTAAAAACCGGTGGAGAACGCAATAGGTTCCTTTAAAACTTATCCCTCTGATTAGTGATGTATCTGGTGGGTAGCACCACCCAACGTTTGAACAATAGAGGGCTGTTCTTTAAAGCACTCCAAGGACCACCATTAGTCAGTAGTGGGCACACAGTCCCGTTATGCATACTAAACTTGCCTTAATTACGTACCACGAGGGGTGATTGGCGAGGGAGGTTAGCTTCTAAAACTGAAAAGGAAATAAACGCTAGTTAGCTGTATCGAATCGAGATTTTTGTCTTCCAATTCTATTTTTAAAAAATGAGCGCATTTCTGGGAAGCAAACTAATTTCGCCAACCTTTTACCTATATGGGCTTGAACTAGTAATCAGAAGGTTATAAAGTCTATAAATTCAACTTCTATTGTGAGAACTTGGATTTTTTTCTCGAGTCGCCTGAGTCAATGACATGTTGTGTTCGGTTGTGATGCTGGTCAGAGCTGCTTGGCTGAAGGTTGTTTAAGACACTGAGCAGTAAGTGCCAACTGTTCCGTCACAAGTGCACAACGCTTGTTATCATTTCTGTGACGAAATGTACGTCTTACAATGCATACATTTATTGCCTTTGGCAATCTGGGGTTGTATTTCTTAAAGTTGCCTATCTTTCCCTATCTTAATATTACAACGGTTAAGGGTTACAGAAAATACCCTGGCCATGGCTACCTCCAAGAAAAAAATTTATTGTAAGGATGGATTTAGATGATAAGCGCTGGCACGTATAGAACTTTGTCTTCGGACAATAATGGCGATAAATTGACATATTTATTTGATATATTTTTGGAGCAGTTCATGCTTTCTGTATAATGTGTTACTGTGAAAGTGCTTTTCCTCTCGTCTTAATGCAGAAGGTAGGAACCCCGGGGCGACTCCCATATAAAAGAGATGGAGATAAGGGAGTCCAATGTCGGTTTGGCTCAACCTTAAACTGACCCCTAAAGGAGACCATACTTAGAGCTAGAGTGTTTTTTATTGTGCTAAAGATGTTGAATTAAAATAGAATGCGTTCATCTATAATAAGATTTCAAAAGCATTGTCTTAAAACTCTAGTTTTTTGCAAATTTGTTTATGAACAGCCCTAAGAGATACCTGAATGGGTAAATATAGTGACGTTCCGTCCCAAACACGGTGAGGCCATTGTCTGCAATTTACACCCCTAAGCGAGACGACGAGTATCCCCGACAGTTTCATATGAAAGTCTTCCCTCGGGGCAGGAACCATGATCCATAACACAGATAGACGCTACGATTTGATTACGTCACTGAGCCCAGGCGAAGACTTACCACAGTCATGGAATTTTATCAAGGAAGTTGGTGGAGCCAAGAAGGAAGATGGAGCCTTATTTCCACTTAAACCGTGGGCTCCAGTTGCTTCATAGTAAACTACATCTGAGCCGCCCACCAACTTGGAGTTGCAAACGGAAGTTTATTGCTCATACTATAATTAAATGACAGCTTCGAGTGAGCTTATGGATGAAAGTTTGCCACAGGTCCCTGCCATAAGATACCGTATGATGGAGATGATGGCAATCACATTGGATATACTTTGGAGATGAATTAACCCAAGACCATCCCAAACGAAGTCTCTTATTTAAATGTCCGTTATCCCTTGGGAAAAGTAATGAAGATGGAGGTCTGAGGTCTGTTTTCAGATACAGGGAATTTCGGCGAACAAATGATCATTTTCGTTTTCGTAAATTATGATAAAACAGATCTTTTCTGCTTATTCAAGGTGTCTGTTGTTCTACCGAAATGAGCGAAGGACTTAAAAGCGAGGGTAAGAAGAGAGGGATCCGGAGGCTACAGTAATACACATGGTGATCACAAAGTTTGTATTGAGTCGACTTTGAACAACAAGCGTTTTCTTTTGATTTTTTGGTATTTCGAATCTAATATGTTCACTGTTTTTGCTAAGAATTTACCGATAGCCGATATGACCTGGCTTGATTTATCAGGGTGTATCTTTCTAAGATAGTTTGGCCTATTCCTATTCCTTGTCATTTACATCTGTCATCGCCCAACGTTCTTTTTGTCCGAGTAGTTCCTAAAATTCCATAGAAGACAGCCTGAAGATCTGCAAGTGCAAGTGCCTCAGCTAAAATAAGCTAACTCGTTCTCTGTAACAGGAGTCATCTTTTCGAAATTGTAGCTGTCAAACGAAGGGAACGCTCGCTAGTTTGTAAGGAGCAAAGTCCACAATAGTTTGAGGGCACAATAAGAAAGCAAACAAAAACATGATATACAATTTTAAGGACAATTACCACTTGATTTGTATAGATACTACTTGAAAAACCTCTTTTCTAATGACCTAAAATGAATCAGGGCCGGTAAATGAGTGACACGAACTTAGAACACTCTGTGAGTTATAAATTGAATTGTACAAATCCCCTCCAAACGGACAAATCTTAAAGATAAAGTAAAACGTAATATGATTGTTTTCTTTA